TTTTTTGTCCATTCAAATTTTTGGTTTTTATATATATAAATTGCTGGGGAAATACATGTATAAGGTTGATTACCACGGAAAATGTTGTAGTTGTCGGAAGTGGCAGATACATAGGAAACCATGCTCTCATGCAATAGCCGTCTGTCTTCACACTGGGGATCAACCAAAGTTGTTGTACGATGAGCACTTTTGGACGGAGACTTGGCTAGCTCAATTTACTAATTAGAGTTTTGCTCCAATTGGTAATCCGGATACATGGGTGCCGGTCGGATGGAATTTGATACCACATAGGGAGAGGATCATCTTGAAGCCTGGACCCGGTCGCGTGCAAACGAGACGCTATCGCATGCAAATGGATCGTCGGCCATGCTACAGAAATGATAGGGGACAATGTACTAGATGTGGTGATCCGGATCATGTTGTGGATGAGTGTCCGTCCTCACATCCTCGCACCGAGAGATCTAGACTTCGTGATGTGTGGGGAAACTAGATTTGTTAGTGCTTATTTTGATTATTTTGGATGGTTTATTTGGATTTGTTTGGATTGTTTATTTTGATTTGTTTGGGTGGTTTATTTTGATTTGTTTGGATGGTTTATTTAGATTTATTGTGGATTGTTTATTTTGATTTGTTTGGATGTTATAAAATCCTTGCTTGTTAGTTTTTATTTGTTAGTGTATTTTTGGTTTAGTTCGTTGTTTTGAATGTTTACAATAGGTGTTTTTGGGTTANCACTTAATTTTGTTTTTTTAAATAAATAAAGCACCCTATGAGTGTGGGCCGTGGATCATAATCAAAACATGATAAACCGAGTCCAAGGTAGGTTAGGTTATTTTTGCGATATAAAATTCTGCAACGAGGCAAACAACCTCAGAATTGCAAATCCGAGCCATAGAGATGTCTTGTACGGAGGGGGAAGATGTGCAAAACCTTGCGACATCCTTTGAAAATCTCGGCCGCCCTCCCACCATAGGTATGAATATGAACTCTGGTTGAAATATCTCTGATTTCGAACGAGGTTGTCTTCTCTCTCTCTAGGATCTGATTTTTTCTCCCACAGATCTGAACGTTATTGCTGTTAATCCGCGATTGTTTTTGTCAGGTATAACAATAACGAAATTGAGTAGATCTAAGTTTGAGAAAAACCTAGCAAGTGAGAGTGTTGGCACCTTTTCTCTGGGTATGAAATCTCTTCCTTTCAGTTTCCTGTGGTCTGAAACGACTTGATTTATAATGTTGTTGCTAATTGAGAATATATCAGGTACGTGGAGGAGATCACGCAGTTCCATCTCCCTTAAAACTCTGTCATCAACCAAAGCAATTTTGCCTTCAAATTCTTCTTTGATATGAAATTTATTATTTAGGATACAGTTTGTTGCTCTTTCTCAGATGAAGATTCAGTTTTAATTTCAGTTTCATGTCCCGTCTAACCAACAGAGTTGTGGAATCGATTTTGGTTGCTTACAGTGGTCGTTGTTCCGGTTAACTAATAGTTCTAATATTGATTTCGAATTTGTGCAATTAGGTTGTAATAATCAAGTCACTCTTAGGTCAGATTTGTTCCTAGAATACTATATGGCAATCTAAGTGATCCAATGGTGATTGATATCCTACTTCCTAGAATTGATTATTATTGTTTGAGGATGTACTGTTTTATTGTTGTAATTATTTAACTGAACAGGAAACAACAAGGTGGAGAGCAAACTAGTAGCCTCATATATTCCACAGGTTCCAAGTGCACACAATCCAATTTTTAGTTACCATGACTTAGCCATAGACGAAAGCCCACCTGTGTTTTGCAGCAAGTGTTGTTTTGACCATAAGCCTCGGCAAGCTTGCCCTTTTCTCTACTGTGATATTTGTTATAGGACTCACAAAAATTGGGGCTGCCCTTATGAAAGCATTTTGCCGCAAGGGGCTGAGTTTGACCGGGTTAACTTCACAGCAGTGTGCGCCTTTGATGACTCAGGTCAATTTGATGAGGAGAAGTGGGCTTGTACCTGGTGTCGTAGGAAAGTAGCCAAACTTAACCGCAAGTACTGTTGCATTTGCGAGGAGGATTTTGTAACCCACTGCTCCTATGAATGCCCTAAGGACGTGGAGCGAGCTGCCGTGTTGAAAGCCTCGCGAGACCATGATCTTGCATTTCCGAAGAAGTGGGCGTCAAAGGGACTTTTGAGCTAATCGTCTATGCTACAGCTTCTGGATTTGTGGATACATGCATCAGAAAACAACGCAACCTTTTATGTTACTTGGTAATCTCTTATGGAAGCTATTGTAATAGTGTTACTCTTGAATCAGGGTAATTGAACTTTATAAAGTCTTTCAACCTTGAGTGCTTAGTATCCGTGGTGGGATATTTAGATGTTTATTAATTTTGGATTTCTGAATTTGCATATTTATCTGTTGTATGCTTGTATTACTATTATTTGTCTTGGTCTTTGGTATTATAAGTTACTGATTGAGTACAATAAGAATAGATAAATGAAAACTAACAATAACAAGAGTATTAGAGAAAATTGCAAATTTGGTCCCAAAATTTTTGTTATTTCCCACATTTGGTCCCATGCACGCCAATTATGGTCCATTTTGAATTTTCGCTGTCAAAATGGTCCCACTCCGTCAAGACTTAACGGTCAACGTTTATAGTCTGGGACCAAATGTGGGAAACAACAAAAGTTTTGGGACCAAATTTGCAATTTTCTCAAAGAGTAAGTGATAAAAATTATTTAAATTTATTTTTATTAGAAACATTTTTTTTTTTAAAATTTTTAGTAAATGTTAAAAAGGTATATTACCATTATTTCCTAACAATACACTTAGTTTATTTTTTAATAAATTATAAAAGATAAATATAACTAACATACAATTCTTTCACATTTTTTTTTAACTTAAATTAAAGTTTAACTTGATTTTTTACATAAAATTATTAAAAATAGACAGTAATAAAAAAAAAATTGTTTAGATTGGGTTTTTTTTTTAATTCGTATTATTTCATAAAGTTTGTAAGGATATATATAAATTATCACATTATACTAATATTTAAAAGTGTAGACGGATTAGTATTATTGTAAGCATATTCACATTTTTTCTTATTTTGATAAATTGGATTATGTCTTTTAGTTTGCTTTATTTAATTAAAATAATATTATTTCTAAATATTCTTTAATTTAAATAATATTCAAATAATTGCTAATATTTTTTAAGTAATGACGGTAAAAATATTAGAAAATAAAATAAATACCACACAATTAGCAATTATATCGTTTACTTTTCCACCAAAAATTAAAATTTATCAACGCCTTTACTTTTCCATCCGATACTTATTTTTATAAAATTATTTTTAATATTTATTTATCGCATAATATTCATAGTAAATTAATTTTATTATGTCATTTCGGCTTTGAGTGAATGAGAGACTTGAAGAACTTGAAGAACTCATGTTTTTTTTCTGAAAAACTGCAAAATTGGTCCCAAAATTGCAAAATTGGTCCAATCTAACGTCCTCACACGAGCCCCGTTAATATTGACGGACGTGGGACCATTTTGGCAACGAAAATTCAAAAAGGACCACAATTGACGTGCCTGGGACTAAATGTGGGAAACAACAAAAGTTTTGGGACCAAATTTGTAATTTTCTCAGAGTATTATTTCAACGGTAATATATATATGTATAGATTCTATTCTCTACCTCTCACCACATTCTCTCTCATTTCTCAACGGTAATGGTATTAATTAATTCACACTTACAAGAAATCTACGACACTCTTGGGGGCTTACATCCCTCGGTTCTCTCCCTCTCTCTTCATAACAATTATTTCAATTCGTTTTGTCTCTAGCCCTTGGCATAAGTATTTGTTTCACTTTATTTTGTATATATTAATCCTCTAGAAAATTGACTAACATACTTTGAGATAAATATGAATAGTATATACATATATACTACAACTAGTTTTATAATAATTAGTCATGTTCTCGCAAGTTACAAAAACCATATCAAAATACTAAAACAACATAGCAAAAACTATTAATTCATTTTTTTATACTAAAACAAAAACCATATCAAAATACACACAAGTTACAAAAACGAACAGAATAGCTGAGTTTTTATTTAGTTAATATTCAATATATATTTGATGTATCAATTAGTTTATGTTCAGTTTATTTGTGATATAATTTGAGTTATATGCTTAGAGCATCTCCAATGCTTAAATGTAGTTGTAATAAATTACACTCTACAGTTAACATATTTAGCAATTTATTCACTTTTAACCCTTTAATACACAATATTATTACCAATGTAATGATGAGGTGGACATAATTAATGTCTACAGTGTAGAGAAAATGTGGTTCATCCACATTCTAGTCAACCAATAGAGAGAGGAGAGAGAAATATTATTATCATTTTCAAAATATCTAATCACTTAATTCATTTTCTTTCATATTTATAAATTTTTATTTTGGACAATTGGACAATATTGTGTTTGAATATAGAGAAATTTACTCCCCATACAGTGCTAACAAATTTTTATTGTACAAGTACGAAGTTAGACTACTTATTTGTAAAAAGACGGAGACTAATTAAAATAGACACATAGGTGACAGTTTAATATGATATATTTTAGTGAAATAAAAATTTATGGCAGTTGCGTGTTTCAAGGGGATGTGTATATCTTAATTAGCTTTAATCATTCCTTTCAATAACTTTCATTCGTCTCTATTAATTCATACTTGAACAACTGTAAACCAAAATTCTCTAAACCCTAAATTTGATTTTTCTTTGTTCAACCATTCAATGCCGAAGAGAAGGGAAATGGAGCATGTGTGGGAAAAGCTAAACGATTATCAAGACAAATCAAGATTAACTTGGTCAAGATCTCATACAAGAATCACACAAAACCAACCAAAATCAAGATCGTATTGAAGAAGCTTCATATTGCGAAGAAATCATATTCAAGTGTCCCGAACAAACCGAAGAAATCATATTCAAGAAGACAAAGAGGCTGAGCGAGGTCAAATTTGATGAGGAGAAGTGGGCTTGTACCTGGTGTCGTAGGAAAGTAGCCAAACTTAAGCGCAAGTACTGTTGCATTTGCGAGGAGGATTTTGCAACCCACTGCTCCTATGAATGCCCTAAGAGCATCTCCAATGTGAGATGTTGACTTAATAAAATGTTAGCCACATCATCAAGTTATAAAGTGATTACAAAAATTACTCTCCAATCCATAATGTTATGGGCTCTTTTATGCTGACATGGAGAAAATAAATGAGAAAATTACACCCCCCACTAATATATTTCATTTTAATAACACATTTGGACCCCTTATATTTTTATTTGTAAAATTACCTAAATGACAAAGAAAATTTTCAATTATACCTAACATACTACATGAACCGTTATCAAGTTTTTAAATGCTAATGAGAGATTTTATTGGAATTAAAGATACACTTACTTAAAAAAAGGGAACAAAAAAGTAACCTTCTGCAAAAATCACCAAAGCAAGAAACGAGCTTTTTCTGATATATTTCATAAAAGTCATAAAAGATGTTCATACAATCTCCAAAAACAACATAAAATAACCCTACAAACTACCCAATCCATTTGAACACTGAAAAGAAACGGAAATAAAAAACTGCTCCCGCTCGCTAACCCCATAAGCTTCAGACTCTCTGGCCCAGTTAAGATTCCATAGAGGCGTGATATTCGACCCTTAGCGCCGCTAAGGAGGTTACCGGCGCTATCCCCATAAGCTCCAGAGTCTCTGATCCAGTTAAGATTCGATAGCGGCCCTAACCCCTGTAACCTGGACAGCTTCGTTTTGCACCTTGATCTTTGCCCTTCGAGCCCGGTTGTACGCATTCTTCAATCTTCGACCTTCATCTACATCATTCCCGTCCCCTTCAAGAGTGTCCTTGTCCGCAAGGACAAAATTCGGAAATTGAACTTGCATGTCATTTAAATTTTCCCAAGTCGACTCCTCTTCCAGCAACCCGTCCCACTCGATCAAGACTTCCCAATGGAAACGGCTAGCTATTTTAATCCTCCGATAATCCAATGCACGTGCTGGACATATAATCATTGTGCCTTCAACATTCACCGCCGGTAGTCTCGTTTGAACTCCCTGATTTCCATTCAAGATTCTCTTTAGTTGAGATACGTGAATTACTGGATGAATTTGAGCTTCTACCGGTAGATCAAGTCGATATGCCACTTCACCCACACGTTCTATGACTTGATATGGACCATAAAAACGACTTCCCAACTTGAATATGGCCTTTTGAGAGATTGTTTGTTGACGATAGGGTCGAAGCTTCAAGTAAACCCAATCACCCGGTTCAAACTGTTCATCTCTTCTACCCTTATCATAGTACTCTTTCATTCGGTTGATCGACCGATACAAGTTATTTTTTTTCTCTCGAATCATCAAATCTCGTTCGGTTAGCTCACGATCGACCTCATCATTCGGGGATGTTCCCAACGGGTAATTAACCAATGTAGGAACCACCCGTCCATAGACCAACTCAAAAGGAGTGAACTTTGTCGAAGCATGATAAGTCGTATTATACCAAAATTCAGCCCACGGTAAAAAGCCTTCCCATTTTTTTGGAAAGTTATGAACATAGCATCTAAGGTATTGTTCAAGGATGCGATTGGTTACCTCGGTTTGGCCATCCGTTTGAGGATGATATGCTGAACTCATGGCCAATTCGGTACCTTGCATTTTGAAGAACTCCTTCCAAAAACTACTTATGAATATACGATCCCTATCAGATATAATGGACCGTGGCATCCCATGCAACTTCATCACATACTCAACAAATAATTTAGCTATGGATTTAGCCATATATGGATGAGTAATAGGGATGAAATGTGCATACTTGGTAAGTCGGTCCACTACCAACATGATCCCGTTGAATCCGTTAGACATAGGCAGTCCTCCAATGAAGTCCATAGTTACATCTTCCCATATCCTTTCGGGTACCGGTAAAGGGTGCAAAAGTCCACCCGGTTTTCTGAAATCCGACTTTACCCTTTGGCAAACATCACATTTGGCTACAAAATCTCGAACTTCATTCTTCACCCCCGGCCAATAGAAAGTATTTGCTAGCCTCGCCCACGTACGGTAAACTCCCGAATGTCCTCCAATTTTAGCTTCATGAAAGTATTGAACAATCTCATTCCTCAATCGATCACTTTCCGGTACATACACCCGACCCTTATATAGTAGCAAACCACCATAGACATCATAATCTTGAACCTCCTTTTCTTGAGCTTCCATTTTCCTACGAACATCATTAGAAAAGGCATCTTGTACATTTGTTGATCTCATATAGCCCATGTTGGTCCGGAAATAGCTTGAAGTTCTGCCACGTCGGTACGACGAGATAGTGCATCCGCCACTGAATTTTGTCGACCCGGTCTATAACAAATCTCAAAGTCAAATCCCATGAGCTTCGACACGAACTTTT